CACTCAGTACCACATAGCTTTCTGCTACAAGAAGCAAATGCAGGACCCTTCCCACCCTGCACTATTCAGTCCCCCCCCCGCATGCAGCAAGGGCTTATAGCACCTACCATGGAGCAGGGCCCCCAGCAAGGGGCACGCCAGAGGTTGCAGCACACACGGGGCAGCTCCATCCATGTACCACAGCTTCTCCTTCCCGGGTCTGGGCACCCAGCTCAAGCCCCACACCTGAGCCTGGCCCTACCCACTGCCTCCAGGAGGAGGCTTCTACCTGTTTAAAGGAGCCACAACCTTATTCACACAGCACCCCTGCAACGGGGCTTTCCACAGGGACCCCCATGGGAACAGACAGCTTCCACAGGCCATACCTGGGGCACCTTCCCATGGACCCAGCCAAGAGGCTGCCAGCGCTATGAGCACTAGTACTGGGTATTGGCTCTGCTGGGGCTGCAGCACAGCATGGGGAAGAGGAGCTTTCCCCCACGTGGGGCCAGGCTGGGTCGTTCCAGGCATGGCCAAGACAAGCAGCCCCTCTCAGCCAGGCCCGAAGGAACCGCACACACCAGCAGGGTCACCACAGACTCGCTATCCCCCGGTGCAGTCACCATCCCCGAGGGACAGCCGGCCACGTGCTGAAGGAGCAGAACCCAGGCTGGATTACATGGTGCTGGACTCCCTCCCCAGTCCAGCCTCCCAGTCCGAGCGCACCTCTGGGGACTGCCTTCTGGCACTGCCTGGCCTGAGGGGCTGGCTTGCGTGTGAGGCAGGCAGCAGGGCAGACCAACATCCCTTGCACCCCCAACATCCCAGACCAGTACTTCCTGCCCCTTCCTGAGGAAGCAACGGCCAGGGGACAGGGCCTTGCTGAAGTCACTTGAAGCATGTGCGCCTCAGTTTCCCCATCTGTAGAACAGGGAGTGCACCTGTGTCACACGGGGTGCTGCACCTCTGCACAGGGTTGCAAAGTGCCTGGGGATCAGAGGATGCAATCGGTGGTTGAGGTCCTCTGAAGAGGAGGTACCAGACTGGAACATGATACCAAGGTGAACAGCTGGCCAGTCTGCCCCATGCAATCCCCATCCCTCACCCATTTGCTGATCCCTGGAATACAGTGCACAGCCAAAGAGCTCCCTGCAGCAATCCCAGGAGGGTTCTTCATTGTCCTGGAGAGAAGTTGGGGATGGAGAAGGGCCCCATCTCTCCCCCACAGCATCCCCTGCTGCAGTGAAACCCCATCCACTCAAACAGCAGGGAGCCTCAGGAGTAAAAGACAGGCACAGACTGGGGCAACCAGCATCGGTCCTGATGCACCATGTGCCTGCCACAGCCACTTGCACCGGTGCAAAGGGAATGTCACATGGGTGGGTAAACTGGAGTCTGCTCCAGGGAGCTTGTGCCGCTGGTGACAGCATGTGCAAGGGTTGGAGAAACAGGCCATGCTCTGTTGAGAGCTGCAGCTGGTCCAAAGGCCTGCAAGCCTGTAGGGGTAAGCAGTCCTACGCCGGGTGAACACAGACCTGAGCACGAGGGAGGAGGAACCACGGGAGGCCCCAGTGTGAATGTCAAAATCTTTTATTTACAACAGTCTCCAAAACCAAGGGGCACTGCAAACGTGGGGGCAGGAGATGCCCTACAAAAGAAACATGGGGACGTTGCAGAGGGAATTGTGCTACATCACTCCATGGGGCAGGCAGTAAAGGGGACCCCTTCCCACCTCCCTTCTCCTGGTGCCTGCAGCGCTGGTGACCCCAGGCCCTGGACCCACCTGCTTCCCTCACCTCTCAAAGCTGCCTTTGCTCCTCCTGGGCACTTGCCTCCCACCCCCAGCTCTCTGTGCTGTCAGGGGTCATCCAGCTCCCACTCCCAGCTCTCCCTACACCCTGTCCTACCAAGACAGAATTGCTTTACTACTCCAAGCAGGGCCTCAGCCTGGAGCACCGCTGGCCACAGGCTGAAATAGGTGAGCAGAGGATTTATTGCCTCCCTGCTGAGCAGCTATGTAGAAAGGAATCACAGGTGCTACAGTGCTCGCCCTGCTCAGCTACAAATCAATCAGTGCCGCCCCAGCCAGGAGGACACTGATGGCTGCAGTAAATAACAGGACTCCTGTGCCCAGCCGGGGGGGTTAGCCATGCTGCCGTGAAAAATGAGTGTGCACAGAGCAGGTCAGGGAGTGAGATGTCTTTCCTCCCGACCCCCGCCTACCAGTGGGCAGCTCCCAGGGCCCCACTCTTGACTTGGGTGCTCCCACGCCTAGCCGTGCTCCAGCAAGTGGCAACTTCTCCCCATTTTTGTTCCCAAGAAGGTATTCCCTGGCTGCTCACCAGGTGCCACCAGGACAGAGCACATTGCCTGCTGGGGAAACCCTCTCTGGAGGCCTTCAGGCCCCAAACAAGGTTCACAACTCCTGCAGCTGCCACAAAGATGCTGAGATATGGCCCGACCCTGCCCACTGGATGATATAGGAGTCAGTTTTTGATATAGGAGTCTGTGTCACTAGGGACAAGTCCCTCTTTCTCCTACACTTAAGTCTGTTTAGACTGTGAGGCTGCTGGGACAGGGATCATCCTACCCCTCAACCCCAGAGCTCAGGACCAACTCTACCAAAACACACACCTCCAGAGCAGTGATTCTCAACCAGGGTGCTGCAGCACCCTGGGGTGCCTTGAGATCTGTTTAAGGATGTCATAGGGTGCCGCACACTGTTAGCACTGTTATGTGTGCAAACATGCTTCATACAGTCATAGAAAGTTAGGGTTAGAAGGGACCTCAAGAGATCATCTAGTCCAGCCCCCTGCTCAGAGCAGCTCCAGCCCCAACTAGATCATCCCAGCCAAGGCTTTGTCTAGCTGGGTTTTAAAAACCTCCAAGCATGGAGATTATACAACCTCTTTGTTCCAGTGTTTTACTACCCTCTTAGTGAGAACGTTTTTCCTAATATCCAACCTAAACTTCCCTTGCTGCAACTTGAGCCCAATGCTCCTTGTTCTGTCATCTGCCCCCACTGAGAACAGTCCAGCTCCATCCACTTTGGAGCCTCCCTACAGGTGGTTGAAAGCTGCTATTAAATCCCCCCTCAGTCTTCTCTTCTGCAGACTAAATCAGCCCATATTGAAGTTCCCTCAACCTCTCATAAGTCATGTGCCCCAGCCACTTAAACATTTCCGTTGCCCTCCACTGAACTGCAATTTGGCCACATGCTTTCTGTAGTGGAGGGGGAGAGAGGTAAAACTGGACGCAGTACGCCCTCAAAGACGTATCGGTGATGAACCCAGACATTTCAAACAGAAATCACTGTGTTAAAAGCATTCTGCTCTGCCGTCGCCTCTCCAAGTTCTTTGCAACAGAAGAATTGCTCTATTATTTTTCTGTAGTCAAAAAACAAGTGAAAACTAAGCTGACATTTTTTGAGGGTGTCATGAGCCTGGGTGGCTTGAGTCCAACATGGATGAGAACCACTACTCTAGAGCAACTAGCCCCGCAAAGCTGTGATTTCACTTGGGCCCTCAAAGTAATAAAAGCAGCTCTCAGTTCAAGGCAGCATGGCCATGCTAGATTAACGACTAGCAATGCTTCCTGACTGCTGGCTCTGACTGGGTGCTGAAGACTCCTAGTGAGAGCTGGACAGGACACAGACTTCTGCTATGCAAGAAGTGCCCCAATACATTTGTTTTCTATGGGGAAGCAGCATAAAAGCCAAAGACTCTGGTATCCCCCAAGGAACGGCATCACAGAGCCGTCGCACCCAGCCGTGTCACAGGGGAAGGCAGAGCAACAGGCCCCCCAGCCATGGGCTGTTGAGGCCGCAGCACAAAACGAGAGCGTCTCACAAGAAAAGACCGTGCTGCCCTGGTCTGAGTCTGAAGCATCAGCCCTGGACTCCTCACAGCCAACCGCTTAACTAGGCACTAATAGGCTAGCCTCTTACCACCACTTGGCTGAGTTTTCTGGGTCTGACACTGTCACAATTGGTCTGCTGTGCTGGATCGGGTCTAATGCCTATTGTAAGGGCTATACCTGGGACTGGACTAGTCCCTGCGGCAATACCTACTGCTCCGACACATCCGCTTCTGGACACCCCTTCAGTGGTGACCAGACATGCTTGTGATCTCCCAACACCCCTCTCTGTGCTTGGACGTGGAAAGCTCCCCCACACCAGCAGCCCAGGGTTTGAGCTCCTTGAAGGGGTTTCCACCGTGTGCTAACAGACAGCAGCTGCCCTCCCAGTATGGGCTGAACTGCACCCGCCACCACCTCCTTAACAGAGCCCTGTGCTCCTGAAGTTAGGTTCAGGCATATGCCAAGCCCAGCCAGGAGTCCTCCCAGCTGAGGTAGTGCTGGCACACACAACAGCCCCTGTCTGTGCTAAGGCAGGAGGCACCTTGACTCCCCGCAGCTGTGGCTTCCCTTTGCCCTACTGCTCCTTGCCCTTCCCCAAGGCCTAGCTCCACCACCAGTCCTCAGGCTGCTTCACTCCCTACCCCCTCGGCTCTCCCTAGGGCTCCTCCCTTACTACTCACCACAGCTGAGGGTAGCAGCCAGGCCCTGGATGGGCAGGAGAGCAGTGTGGGATCCCTCCCCAGGGCCAGGGAATGTTTCCTGCAGATGCCCATGGGCCTGAGCTCCCCACCATGCCACAGCCCCGGCTGCCACATAACAATGCACAATCTGTTATTTCCACTTTAAGAATATGATGGAGCCAGCCATGCCTAAGATGTCCCTGCTAATGGCGCTTGGCTGCAACTTCATTTTCCTTTAATAGGAAACATCTGCTCTGAGCAAGCAGTGGTGTGGGAGAGCCCTCATCATCATCCACACTCACCCCTGGCTGAGCGAGTCATGCTGCTCCCAATGGCCAGCTCACTCCCAGGATAAAAGCTCACTGCTGTGACTGACCAACAGCT